CCTGAAAAGGTCCCCATATCTGCCCCCGCCCCCCAATGCTCTTTTGGAGAGGCTCATTTTCGGGAATCCCTGACAACAGTGGTTTCTGCAGCTGCCCCGAACTCACTTTCCTCCGCTCCCCTGGCGACAGCCTTTCCCTTTCCCCGGCCGCCCGCCCCCGCGAGGGGCCCTCGCGCCGCAGCCCGCTCCCCAGGGGTCGACGCCCCGCCCTCGTACTGGTGCTCGACTCCCCCACGATGGCCACGCAGGCGTCCTTGCCGGCCTCGCAAGTCTTCATTTTCCCGCTGCACGTGGTCCCGGAGCCCCTGCACACCTCGCAGCTTAGGGGGCACCCTGCAGGGCAGAGGGCCAGGCTGGAGTCCCCAGGCGGTGGGCTGTAGGACCGCGGGGGCGCGCCGGGGGAAGGGGCGGGCTTTGGGGTCCGAGGGAGGTGGGACCGGTGTGTCCCTGTTCCTGGGTGGGGCACCGACCGCGGTCGCGGGAACTGTCCAGCGCTCCGACGGGGACGCGCTGCTGATGCCAGCAAAGCTGCTTCCTGAGGCGGGAAGCGACTCTGCCGCGCAGCCTGTTTACCTAATTACAAGGCTGGGGACTTTGGACGCTAGGGTCCCCTGAGAAAGCTCGGGCACGGGGAGGGGGTCCTGGAGGGAGTTTCCACGGACTTTCGTGAAGCTTCAGGTGCAGCTGGTTCTTGGATGTGGGACCCGCCTTCATGCAGGAACCGAGTGTCGGTCTTGTAGACAATGGAAGCACCTCTGTGCCCCTGAATCTGAGGTGGGCATCCCAGTTCCAGAAGGGACAGTGAGGACCAGGAGGGTTGAGGGCATGTGCTCCCTGATACTGTGAGAGGGGCAGCTGGCGCCCAGACCCCCGGGACCTGGGGAAGGTGGCGCTGGCCTGAACTCCTGCTTCTAAGGGAGGAGGGTCTGGGGGCTTGATGTCCCTGGAGCCCAAGAAAAAAGGAAAGTTCTTCCCTTCCCCCCAGTTTTTAAAAAATCTCATTTTGTAATCATGTTCTCCTCTGACTTTCTAGAATTTAAATGTTTTGAGACCCCTCCTGAGAGACAGAGGATTCAGTGCCCACCCTGCCCCCTCCTTTCTCAAAGGTCCAATCTCAAGAGCCTCTGAGCTTTTCCTCTCTTGGGGCCCCAGTCTTTCTCTTCCTTTAGCCTCTGCTGTCGACACGAATCTGAATTCCCAGGACACCACCTCTTTCCCTCTGGATCCCAGGAGTCCAAGCCCCTGGTCACTTACCCAGACGCAGCAGGGTGCAGAGCAGCGTGAAAGCCAGCGGGAAGGCACTCGGTGCCATGGAGGGCCTCATGGTGTGTGACCCAGCAGTCCCTGGTTCCCAGCACTTATAGGAAGCTGAGGAGGGGCGGGTCTGGACCCACCTTCACCCCGGGGTGAGAAATAGCTGAGGTAAGATCTCAGGGCAGGCCTCTGCGGCTCTGGGTTGGGGAGGTGGCACCAGAATCCAAAGGGACATGGGCATCTTGTGCCCAGCCCCCTCCTCCACAGGAATCCCAGGAGTCTGGGCTTCCAGCCCCTTCTTCTATCAGGACCCAGAGGGGTACTTTCCTGTTTTCTCACATTCTCCTCCCCTTCCCCTTTTTTTTCCTGGCCCAAAGCCCAGCTGTCACTTGATTCCCTGTAGGTGTAGAGCGGCTACAAGGACTGAGATCCCCTCTCCCTCTCTCTCTTCCTAAGGAAGCACCCTGCGTGGGTGGGGCCCTACCTGGGAGCGCCCAGCATGTCCAGTCTTGTTCTGCGGGGGCCCGGGAGCCCTGTCTCCCTTCCCTCCTTCGCGGGCTTCGCTCATACTCCCTGCTCTGTGTTCGGTCTGTCTCCAGCCCCTACCCGCCTGCGGCTGTAACTCTGGGCCTGGCGGGGACCGAACAGAGGGAGTGCCTGTCGACCGGCAGGGACGGGCGTGGTAGGAGACGGATGCCCACGGGTCACTTTGGGAAACTGAGGCATGGGTGGAAGCACTCCAGACTGGGTGTGTGTGTCTGGTTTGAGCTCATGCTTTGCGTTTTATTTAGGTTCTTGATCCACTCTTTCCTGGCCTCAGGCATAAATAACCCTGAGGAAGAGCCGAGAATTTTTTCCTGTGTGTGTGGTGGGAAGCTAGCGGGGGACTCGCATAGCTGCAGAACCGGTGGAGAGGATCCTGCTACGACAGGCTCCAGGATCCCTGCAAAAATCCACGCGGGTTTCTGGTCCTCTAGCTTCCTAGGCTTCAGTTTGGGCGGTGACTGCGTTGTCCAATGAGAATGGCGAATTTCTTCTAGGGACCAATCCCGGAGGCCTCTCCTGTTGCTAGGCGCCCAGAAAGCCGGCAGTGAACGTCACCGGAAGGAGGGGCTAGACAGTGATAGGGCCAGAGAGAGGCGGGACTAGAAGAAAAGCTCGTTGCTAGGGAACTCAGCGCCTCTCTTGCAAGAGGCGCCACTGGGCTTGCGCGAGGTCGACGCGTGCGCGGCGCGCCGCGGTTTGAAAGGCCCGAGCCTCGCGCGCTTGCGCAGTTAAGCGCGCGCAGGGCGCACCCCCTTCCTGCCCCCCAAACTCGGACCCTCGTTCATCCTTCGGGTCGGGCGAAGCCCACCACTTTGACATGCCGGAGATCCGCCTCCGCCATGTGGTGTCCTGCAGTAGCCAGGACTCGGTGAGGGACCGGGATGAGGGAGGTTGGATGACGTAGAGGAATTCCTGAGGGGCCGCCACGAGAACTTCTGGAGTGTAAAAGGGAACTTCGTGGAAGTCTAAGGAGGGTTTGGGGAAATTTCTAGGAAGTTATAAGGGAATTCTGAGAGAGATGTGGGATGGGGGAACTTCGGGCCTCTGTGGAAGTTCCGGAGAGAAAGGAGGAATAGGGGAGCTTCCTTGGGGAGCTCATAGGTGACCTTCCCGGAGAAAGTGTAGTAGGGTTGGACTCTTGGGGGAATTAACGGGGACACTGAAATCTAGGGGATCGCGGAGCGCTTGGGAGGATCCAAAGGAATAATCTGAGAGCTGGGAGACTTAACTTTCCCTTTCCCATTCTTATTTCAGACCCACTGTGCAGAAAACCTTCTCAAGGCGGACACTTACCGAAAATGGCGGGCAGCCAAGACAGGCGAGAAGACCATCTCTGTGGTGCTCCAGGTGATCCTGCTCTTCCCCTTCTTCCTTCCTAGGAGGAGTCTGGAGACCCAGGGTCCAGGCTCTGCCCTTAAGTTAAGCGGCAGTGGGTTGAGGCATTTCCCCCTGGGCCTCAGCTTCCTTACGTGGAAAATGGGCAGCGTGATTGCTGGGCCCCTTAGCAGAGGAGGAAGGTGACCCAAGGACTAGGCCAGGGATGACCATAGGAATTAGCTTGTGGCTGGGTAGGTTGCTTCTACTTTCTGGGCCTGTTTCCTCAGCTAGAAGAGAAAATTATCGCTGTGCATCCTGATTTCTGAAGCCGGGCTGCTCAGGGCTGGAAGGTGTCTCAGGAGATCATCTAAGCCAACCAGCCCTATTTTAAAGACTGGGAAACTGAACTATAGGTTGGAGAGAAGTGAAGTGGCCCATCTACACTACCATTTCTGTAATGCTGGCCAGGTTCTTTTTGAGCATGCTCTCACCTAATCTGCACCACAGCCCTGTGAAATTGGAGGGAGGCAAACAGGAAAGGGTGGTTTGACCTGAGATGGTTATAGAATTCCAAACAGGCTACTCCTGTCAGGGATAAGAAACTGGGAAAAGAGAGCTAAGTGTGTTTTAAGCATCTGCTCTTTGCCAGGTGCCGATCTTGGTGTTTTACCTGCATGAACGTGCTCTTCACAAGGGCAGCGTGACGTAGGGGCCGTTATCACCAGTAATAAAAGACAGTGCTGAGATTTGAACCCACGACTGCGTGTCGGTGCTCTTCACTGCTTTGTCATACTGCCTTGTGTGCACACGCTGGTTCTTTTGATTTGGGCCATGTTCCTTACTTCTGAGGTGTGTGTGTGTGGGGGGGGGGGGGGAGAGATTAACATAAGAATTTAT